AAGCAAAAGTTACACCCTTCCGAGGGCTGAGTGAAGGGGCGGGAAGGATAATAATACTCTTCCCCTGTCCTGTGAAAGGAGCAGAGGCAATCAAACTAAATTGAATACATTCTGATAAAGAACTTTTATGCGCCTGATGAGAGATGAACCCGAATTGGGGCGAATATTTATGCAATAAAGCCCCCATCGAAAATATTTACTTCACACTCGAGTGTGGCGTCTATCCTGTCGCAGTCCTCGTGACACACTGAATGACTTTCCCATAAAGGGTATTTTATTGTCAACCAACCGCAAATAGTTTTTGGCCCATTTCCCTTTTTATGGCGCCTCCGGGGTGGTCGAAAAAGTTTTGCTTAGCTCGTTTGATAAATGTTTGTCCCAACTTTTGGCCAAACTGTTGCTTGGCTCTCAGCTCTCGGTTCTCGGTTTCCACATTGCATTGTAGCGATATCGCTGGCAAGTCAGCTATGAGCTCTGCGGTCAAAGGAGACGTGAAAAAAATTACAATACCCCCACACAAAAAAAGAGAAGGACCTCCGACAAAAAATGTGGAAATTTACTTAAAACTTTGGGCAAACAGCTCGTCCTTGGCTTGTACCGTTCGGTAAAATTTAGGTAAAATGCTTGCCTCGAACTTTTTTGCATTTCAGTCAAAATTACTTTCAATTTTAGTTCTTGGTTCCCGGAGATGGGGCTTTTATTTTGTTGAACTTTCAGCTCAGCCTGTTGCCGTTGCCTGGACACTGGACAGAGGCTATAGAGCACTGGCCAAATGCATTAATCATCTCGAGTACACAACAAGCCAGTTCAAAGTGTCAAAGTCTGCTGTAGCCGTGGCCCTTGGGCGGCAATTACATTAATCAAGGCATGAAGCGTAAGCTGCACTCATAACAGGACTCTTTGGTCGGCTCAAATATTTCATTAGGATGGGTTATCCTGCCCAGGCATTCAATCCGCACCCACACTCGGTCCAGGCAAAGGGCATAAAATGTCAATTTTGCGCAGAACTGAGAGCCAAACAATGCGGCAGTTTTACGTTTGCCAGGAATTATGCACTGGGAGAAAAGGGGATGCAAAACAGAGCTTCTAATTACTGATTAATTAGCTTCCTAGCAAATATTAACTGGCAGAAATCAATGAAGATTGTGTTGAAGCCTTAACTTCCAGCTAAGGGTTGTCTACTTCTCCCTTAGACCTTTTCTTGAAGTGTAAGCATCCTAGGTGGATTCGGCTGGCATCCTGCAGCCTGCGGAGCCATTATCAGCTGCTTTGAGCGATTACACTTTCGGGGCAGACCGGCAGGGGTTTTTGGACGTGGGTCAGGGTCGCGTTTAACAAAATGTAAACACGGGGCGACGGCTACCAGGCAACCCAACGCCCAAGTTATCTGCCTCCTGTCGCTGCAAGGACCCCATACCCATCTTCCCTATTTCCTGGTCCGTTTTTTCGTAGAGCGGATATTAAGGCTAGTCCGCGTAACGGTAATGGTAATGCCAACAGCCGCCGGCTGGAGGCTTTAAATGGCAGAAGGAAATTGTAAAATTTGTAGCATTTTGTCACTGTCTGTTGGCCAAGTTAAGGTAAGCTGGATATCCTACCAGGACTCACATCTAGGACTATCTAAATTGGATTGTCAAATGGAATAATGTCTGGGATTCGGAAGAGAAAGGTAAATTCATTTTCATTTTAGAGACAGAAAAACACACGCTCTTCTCTCTCTGACAGGATTAGGGATTCCGAAACTTTATTTGGAGTTCAAGGTAAACGCAATTGAACGCGAAGGACTCTCCCAAATAATTACACATTTACTTTATTAAATGAGCACATTTAATTTTGAAAAGTAAATACTTTTGGGGGAACCTAAGATAGTTTATTTTAATGGCGCTTCAACAAGGGAAACGAAAATGTTCTTGGGGACACATTCAGGCAGCCACATATGCAAATTACCAGCGAACAAGAGCTGCTCCGAAGCGTCCTGCTTCCCAGGACCTGGGGGTAAACATTTTAATTGAGAATTCGCCGGGCCGAGCCACAGAAAGTAAATAGAGGAGCGTCGCATGCATGACAGCATCCTGTGCCTGAGCGAGTCCTGTGAGCCGTGCTGCCTCCATTTAGAACCCTTTTGATTTTTTGCATAAACCTGCACTTTGCACATTTTTGCATGCGTAATGGATGGAGCACAAAAAAGGCAGTCCTGCCAGTCCCGATGAGTGGACATGCCAAAGAAATTCAATTAATTACATTCCCACTGTTCACTTTCCAACTGGCCTTTCAGTGAGAGCCTGGTCCTGCATTCGGAGGTCCTTCATGGGCCATCAAAATAATAAAATACATCAAATGCGAGCGACTTATTTAAAAATGTAAAACAAATATTTGCGTCTGTGGCCACCATGGTTCGCTTTATGCGCTTTATATCGGTTATTTGTTTACTCGCATTTTTTATCTCCGGCCCGGATTTTTTACCCGCTGTTTGTTTACGCCGGACGAGTCCTGCCGTTTGCTGCTTTATTAAAAATTGTTGTGCAAATGAAGCGGCAATTTGGTATTTTGCATCTGGCAGTCGCAGGCGAAGTCCAAACTTGTTCATTATTCACAACACACAAGCCAGTTAAACAAGCCAGCAAAAAAATAATAAAAAGTCAGATTCCGAGCCAGTCGAAAAAAAAGGGTGCAGGGCTCTGCGGCACAAAGTTAATTAATTTTTGCTTTTGATTAAAACGCAACCAGAATAAGCCTAATGCGCCAAAGGCGGCCAAACAGGGCCCAAACAAAAGGCTTAATCCTTTGTGGGAATCCTGCGGCCCCACACGTGTGCGTGTACTGGCGATGGGGCCAGGATATGCCCCGAGCGTGTTCAACATTTTAAACACTTTGACATTGGAGACATTAATGAATACATTTCTAGGACGAAGGATGGTCCGAAAGTCTGATGGTCTGATGGCCTGATGGAAACGAGGAGAGGCAAAACCGTGCAGTTGTTTAAAATGCCATTAAATTCACTGAGATGTCCTGTCAGATCGCCACTCTGTTTCGCTTTTCCCATTTCCCGCCACAGAATGTATGTGTGTGAGCTGTCAGCATGCATAACTGTTGCTGTCAGGATTATGGCTTGTCATATTATGTATTATAGAGTATTTTATTTGCTTTCAATTAAAATGCGTGTGTCACTCGGCTGCGCATATAAATTGCCAACAAAATAAGACGCAAATTTATGCAAACGAGCCGAATGAGTTTTCTTTTTCGCCATAGTTGTTGCTTTTGCGAAAACTTTTCTGCTCTCTGTTGTGTTATCCTGGAATTGGAAATGAGTTTTGATGGTTGATTTGCATATACGCTCAAAACAGGAAACTAAACAACTTTGTTTACTCTTTTCCGGGTGCCATAAAAAGATGACAAACACCCAGGCCCTATCAATAAACAAATTGTGTTTCTTGCAGAAACAATCAAATGAATTTGTAAATCACAGGGTCTGACTTTCCACCCAGTCTGGCAATGGAAAAACCAGACTTCTCCAATAATAACTATAATATTTTAATGGATTTTAGGTCCCAAGCCCCCAAGCTTTATGTGTTTATTCATTTGTAAACTCCGATAAAGTGAAGTCTTCATAATAAAAATCAAGCGGGTATTAGGCTAATGCCTTTGACCTTAATGTCTGATATTTTTTAGCTGCGGTCTTGTCTGGGCCAGCGAGCAAAATGCTTATTACTGATTGATAGAAATCTAAATTAAAATGGCATAATAAAGGCACTTTCGAGCAGACTTCGCCCAGACACAGGCACCTGCAGGTGAGGATTGGGACTTGGATTGGTTTGGGGTTTTGGGCGAGCCTGGGATTAGAGCCGAGAGTAATGACAGTTGGCCGGCCAGGCGCCCCACTCTGAGGGCATTAGGGAATCCTCACACTCTGCCACTCCAGTTCTGGATCCTGACCCTAAACTTCCACTGATTGCCATCGATACGGCAGGCGGGTCACGTCCATAAAGTCTCAATCGCCGGATAGCCAGGTGCCGGAGACAGCTTAAAGTTGGCCTTTAAGGTCCGCAAGCCCGCCTTAAAGACCAGAGCCAAAGCCGCCCAGAGGTGCTGTACTCGCCTCCGGCAAATGATTAACTTAATTATAAATTAATTAGGAGAGCAGGCAGCTGGCAGCGCTGGTGGGGGCGACATCAAAGTATCAATAATTAATCGCCTTGATAATGTTTTCAATTTCTTGCTTCATTAAGTTGTTTTATTTCGCAGTACAAGGCGTTGGGCCCGCCGTCTTTGGTCCTAATCCTGCCCCGGGCTCCCTGGACTGCCCCTGGCTGCCGCGGGTCGCTAAGCCCGGTTAATACATTTTGAATTAGTTTTGCAACAACATCTCTTAGACCCGAGAAGTGGGTGAGAGAAACTGCGGGATGGCATGGAAGGTCGCCAGTTCAATAAAAAATCAATAGCCTCGCATTTCGTTCATTTTTCATTCGCAGCATTGAAATTATATCCATAAAATAGAATCATATACCTAACATATGTGCTTCTTGTTCGACACATGAACACTGAACAGTGAACAGTGAGCACAGGCTGGCTCGTCACACGGAAATAAAACTGAAACCGGATGTGCGCCTGATGGCCAGACCGGAAATTAAACTATTTGCTAGCCTAGCGAGCGGGCCTGCCACGCAAAACACTAAATTTTGACAGGCATTCATGTACCTTTTATAAATGCCTTTCGATTGGTTTTGTTTAGATTCTTCAAGTTAGAAAACCATAGTTGATTAGTTGACTTTTTAATTTTTTAAATATTATTTTAATACTTTGTTTAAGATTATATGTTTTTTAAGGACCTTACACCTTTTTACTTGATTTTTGTTTCAGTTGTAACCTTGAAACTTAAAAAGTACATTTTCAAAAAGTAAGTTATTTGAAAATCACATTTTTTCTATTTTCATTTCACTGCAAAGTTTCATAATCAAAATATTTGTGGACGGGCCCCCGAAAAGCACAAACACCTTACTCACCTGCCTTTTTCAGCTCAAAAAGTTATGAAATATTTCACAAAAAGCGTGCGAGTTTTAAATTTATGATTTGATTTTTAATAATTCGCTGCTGCTTTAATTGGTTTATTTTCGACACTTGGCAGCCACTTGAAAGTTGGCTTGTTCGTTATATGGCCTTTGTTTGGCCAACACACGGGTACTGGTACGGGTACGGATACGGATACGGACTGGGATACGGATACGCACACCAACACACGCGCACACCTTGGCCGGGAAAGTTAGAAGCCAGAGGTTGGCTTCTTGGACAGCGCACAGGATACAGCCACAGGATATCTACTGGCTGGCTGGCTGGCAGGCAGGCTGGCTGGCTGGCTAGCAACTGGCAGCTTCCGCGCTTGATGACCTGCTCACGAGACGGCTCAACTCGAACTGTGACGAGGCTGCCAGTTGGTCCTTCGTTCGCGCACTCTCCCGCTTTCTCCTGCTTTCTCTCGCGCCCCGTCTCTTTCTGGCTGGCAGGACTACAGGACTGGTAGGACTGGTAGGACTGGCACGACTGGAAAGCTCGCCAGCTGGCCCAGCATTAAAAAGTAATATCAATTTCCACCTTGCCAAGTCGGCGAGGAGCACGACGGCGAAAGCAACAGCTAAGCGATTTCCCTGGATGCGGATGCAGGCTGCCAGCAGCTGGGCCCCGCCTCCCACGCCCACGCATTAGCTTTAGGTGCGCGCTCTCTCCAACTCCCACGCCCCCACACCCGATGAGTCCTTTGCTCCCCCGGTATCCTAGAACACGTAAAATGTACCGGAGTGGAGACTTTTCATAATTGTTGCTTGCCGCCGATGTCGATTATGCGAATATTTTGGATGTTATTAAATGATTAGGGAGTTTTAATTTATTTTTTTTTATATTTAAAAATAATATATATAATTTATAGAGTAAAATAAATAAAAAAGAAGTCAAGAGGTTAAATGATGTACCTATTGTCTATTTATATTTCAAATTATAGGAAATATGGTTACTCATTTGTCTTCATATTACATTTTATTTTAATTTTATTATTTAAAACATCATTAAATAGCTTTGTATATTTATATATAGCTATATAAATTTATATATTTTTTTTAAATATATTATTTATTAGAATGAGTCCTCTAAAAAAAAAAATCTTTTTATGGAACTTGCTTCAAATACATAACAAGATCTTTCAAAATAGGTAAAAGGTGATGATACTAAAATAATGCAAATATTTACATACAATTTTGAAGCCTCAGTATTTTTTTTTTTAATCATAAGTATAATTCTCTAAATAAATTTATATTAATTGCCATGAATATAACTTATAATTTATGAATAGCCTCCATAATAATTTCTCAAAAACTACTACCTTTTTTAACAAAAATTTTAAAACATTACTTTCTTAAAGTGAATAAAAAATATTGTTTTTATCCGTGAATGCAAAATACAAGCTAAGCACTCCTGTCCTCACACACTCGAGTCCTTTTGCTCACTCGTTCCCACACAAGCGAAGGAAAAAGCGCAACAGGACCAAAATAATTGCGCGTTAAACATGTGCCAAGCAACAGCCGAAAAAGGACGAGAGAAAGCAACACAGAACCAGAGAGAGAAAGTGTGGGAGAGAGTCTTAGGGACGACATTGAAAGCCGAAGGATACCGAGGCCCAGAGAGCCTCACTGGAAATGTTCAACTGGTTGCGTTTTCGCAAGCAACAGGATATGCTGGAAGGCAGGAGAACATCGCCTGGGCCAGAAACATCGCACACAGACAAACAAACACCCCGAAAGTAGATTCAGGAGCTGCAACAAAAAAAAAAAAAAAAAAACAGAAAAGCAGAAGGAGCAGTGGCAACCACAGAAGGAGGCATAGAAGCAGTCGCGTGCTTTAAGCTTGAATACCAAAACAATTTGAGCGCACAATAAAATTCAATGGGCGTCGGGGAAAGGTGGGCTGGAGTGGCGGGAAAAGCAGGAAAAGCGAAAAAAGCTGAGGAGGCAGCAAAAAGAAAATGTGCCAATGCGATGTACAAAGGGAGGGAGGAAGCCGTCAAGGGGCGGCGGCATTGCGTGTGAAAGGAGCAGCGCCTATTGAAGGACGAACGGCATTAGAATGCTGCAAAAAAAATATAAAAGCGGATAAACTTAAAGAAATATAAGGACACAAATATTGATATTTATTTTTCCACAATTATTATGATTTATTTTATTTTTAAGTCTATACAATTTAAAGTATTTAAACTTATTCTTGCATAATAATTTTATATCTAAGTAGCTATTAATAATTATTCTCCATGTGTAGACCATGTTTACCTGGTAGTCCTGGCCAGTCACGAAGGGATGTTTGTGTTGAGCCTGCTCAGACACCCCAGCCACGTCCCAGGAATCGAAGTCGCAGGACTCCGAAAAGGTATGCACCGTCTGTCGATTAAGATGCCAGGCTCGGTGGCTCGAAGGGTCCTGGGTCGTCCTGCTCTTGTATTTGGGGAGCTTATGGCCAGGCCCTCGTGACAGACAACATGGCCAGGACCTGGCCGTCCTGCCCGTCCTGGCTGGCAGCTTATCAATTTGTATGCCTGCAGATATTTATTTATGAATATCCTTGCCGCCCCGGACGCTCTCGTCTCACGCCTTTATGGGTACGAAATGCCGAAATGCTGAAATGCCGCGTAATCCTGACGCACACCTTTTGCCTTCGGCCAAGGGTCCTGCGTCCTGCAGGCTCTTCTTTATGTGTCACTGCCCCACCTACGCCACGAAGCACCTTTTTTTTAGTGCCTTCCGCCGGCATTTTCACGAGCCGTTGCTTAATTTTATTTTTATTGCAGATTGATTTTTTCAGATTAAGTTTTCCATTTTACAGCGTTGTCCGCTGTCTGCGCACTTACAGGTTTTTTTGGGGAGGGGATTTGGTGTTTGGGATTTCGAGGCTGAAATCCGTTGCCTACTTTTGTGCGTTGGCTGCCTAAAATCTGCGCATACAGCTTCAATTAGCACTGCTGACAAAAAAGACAACAAAACAGAACAAAACCAAACAAAACAAAAAGCAAACAAATGCCACTCCGCCCCGCTGGCTGTGGTCCTGGGGTTTTTGCCCCTGTCACACCAGCAAACAAACTCCAAGTAAAAGTAAAACATTTTCATGCAAATGCTTTTGTTTAGCCATGGAATATCCCCAGCATTTGCACACGTCCTAGCACAATTTCGCAGAGCTGCCAGGACCCAGTACCCCGTACCCAGGACCGGGAACGAGCGCGTGTGAGAGTCTTGCGGCGAAAGTTTTGCACCCAACACGCTCGCAGCCAGAGCAAACAAAATCAAACCGAGCGCAGCAAAGCAATCCAATATTGACCCATGGCCAGAGACGGTAGGTCAGGTCAGGAGGTCCTGCCAGCGGGGCAAATCAATAAAAAAAACACAAGAGCTAAAGGGTCTCCTGATCCCGCTACATGCATGTAAAATTTATATAATTTTTTTAACACAACTTCTATGCTGAGAAAAATAAATGGCTAGAATTAATTGCCCGCCATTAGGTTGGCTTAAAAATCTATTTGGGAATGGCCAACTGCAAGTGCAACTGTCATTAAATCGGACGTCCAGTTGGCAGTTTATCCCTGACGGTTATATCAACTAAATGCGTAAGCTTATTTTGCATTCGACATGACACTCAATTAATGGCGACAGGCAAGAGGGCTTTGGTGGGCTCCAAGGACCCAGGACCAGTCCGCATAATCCCTTCGCCACTTTCAATGGCTACAACTTAATTATGTGGAAGCCCGCCCGTAAGAAAGACAGCCGAGCACTTGACGCTAATGCCTTGAATCTCAAATCCTTGCTGCCCAGCAGACAGAATTGCAGAATTAAAAAGAATCCAAACAGGATGGCATTTATGATGATACTATACTCTTACCAAGGAAAACTAAATCATAGCAAGACCTTAATACAACCTTAGCAACGGAAGTAAAATATTTATTAAGTGTATTATTATATTAAAAAATATATATTTATTAATAGTATCTTCAACCAACTGACCCCTTTTCAGGTGAGGGCATCAAAAAAGGTCTAAGAAAACAAAACCTAAGTGCTTCATTACGATTTTAATTTGGCATTTTACCTGCCCAAACGCCAGCTATCCTTGCCTTGCCACTCCTCAACTCACCTCACCTCACCTCACTTTCCACTCTGGGCCAAGTTCGTCGCCAACTTGGTCTTCTTAATTAGAACAATTTGCCAGGACGACAAGTGGTCTTAACATAAACTTGAGTAAATGACGCAAAAATCGCGACAAGAAGCAGCAGCCACTGCCATTGCCATTGTTGTCCTGTCATCCTTGTTGGCATTTTGGTTAAATGTTCAATGCAAATAGTTTTGGCGACAGATTTCGCCTAGGCCGGGCCTGGCCCAAGCACAATGGCGTATTTTTGTCTATTTACTGCAAAGTTAATTGAATTTTCACGCCAAAGCCGCCAAGAACAATGGCAATGGCCCGGGGCTATAATGGCTTGGCCCGGCTTGGCTCACAACGCTTTATTTGACAAAGTAATTAACTCTGAATAATGTGCCAGGGAAATTGCTGTCGAGTAGGTCATAATTTGTTGGGCGCCTGCAAATTCCTTTTGTTAATCAAAAAGGAAATGCGCCTTCTTAAACGCCTGGAAAAACGGGGGGGCGCACTTCCTGCCCAGGCTCAATCAATTGATATCGATCAGCTCGAATCGAAGGCTGGCAGGCGGGCTAAAAGTTCGCACCACAAAACTGAAGTAAAGCAACAGTTTGACAAGCGGGTGGCAGTGGGCGGTAGTGTAGGTTAAGGCCGCCTTGAAGGAGGGATAAAGTGTGGCCTTAGCCAACTTGTTGCATGGCCAGCTCGGGGGAAACAGAGCACATTGCGTAAGTCCTTGAGGGGCTTTGGCTAGAACAGTTTAGGAAACCTCTTTGGCGCCACAGGATTTTACTATTATATTTTAAATTCCTTTCCTTAAAAGGGAAATCCAGTTATTCCTTCAACAGTCATCTTAATTTTGGCTTATTATTTATTAATTGGACAAAACCTGTTAACCTTTTAAATCGTAACTTCTGGATTTGCCATGTATTGCCAAAATACCTTTCTCTACCTATATTAAATCAAAGATATATCATAGATTCCCAATTTTTCCACTTTTGCCCCTTCCGATGGCCATAGCTTTGACAATTTGTATCCGATCGGGAAATAAAGTACCATTTTGTAATCAGCAAACTCAGAAGCGACATTCCTCATTCGAAACATTGTTTAAATACCGTTTTGAAATTTTTCGAATTTTTCCCAGGGGTACCCCTACCCCCCTACTTCCGATGGCCATAGCTCTGACATTTTGCATCCGATCGGGAAATAAAGTACCATTTTGTAATCAGCAAACCCAGAAGCGACTTTCCTCATTCAAAACATTGTTTATATACCGTTTTGAAATTTTTCGAATTTTTTCCAGAGGTACCCCTACAAAATTTTGCGTTTTCCCAATTTTCCCACTTTTGCCCCTTCCGATGGCTATAGCTTTGACAATTTGTATCCGATTGGAAAATAAAGTACCATTTTGTAATCAGCAAACCCAGAAGCGACTTTCCTTATTCAAAACATGATATAAATATCGTTTTTTATAATTTTCGAATTTTTTCCACGCTGATACGCTTCTTGTAATGGCTTCCTTCAAATATGAAAGTTGCAGAAATGAATCTCCATGTGCTGGTCGCTGGTCCAGTTTCCCATCGGAGTCCTTATTGTTAGCGCAGCTGAAACACAATTAGAGGACCGTGGCAAAAGCAGCAGCGGACTCCAGTGACAAGGACGAGTGGGGGTGTCATATCCGCGTCGTGGACCTTTGGGGCGGGACGTGGTGGGCGTGGCGAAACTTTTCGCTTTGGTAAGCAACTGACGCCATTTTAATAACGCAAATTACAGTCAGCGTTGTATAAATTTAGTTCGAAGTGGGTGGCAGTGGTGGCGGAGGCGGAGGTGGGGTATGGGCTGCGGATTGGTGGCAACTGTTGCTGGCACATATTTCAGCTGTTGTGGCACGACGCGGTTGCTGTTTTTTTCGCTACAAAGGCGGTCGAAAACATCGCTAAATAGATGCACAAATTGCCATGGCTACATGCCAGTAGTTAAAGCCAATGGCATATGGCTTTATTGTGGAAAATGTACAAGTTTTTCATTGATTAAAAAAGCTGCTTTAACCATAGCATTGACCATTGATATATTTTCATTTATTTGGCAGACAAAGGACGAACTGAACTGTATGCAATCCGAATGTAATCTTTGTCGTTAACCCAACGTTGATTACGAATTCAATTTAAAATTTCCAAAAAAAGCAGTTTATAAGACCAACAGGTCGTATTAGTAATTTTTTGGTAAACAGGTCTTATTTTTAATATCTGTCCTTCCAATTCCAAATGCAACATAGTTTCCTCTGATCAAAGATTTCAAAGGATTATAATGACCCGCAGCGGGTTAAAGCCACCTCCTCCACCCAAGAAGACAAGTCAATTTTCGAAGGATATATGTACACAAGCCAACGGGCAGAAAGCCATTGTGTGGGGCTCCGAAATGCTCAGCGCAGCAGGTCCTTTCGTGTCCTCGAGCTGTAAGCCTTAACGCTTGGCAGCCGTCCAACTATGGAATATCCGACAATTGTTGCCATGGCTACTGTGGCTGCAATTTTGCGTCATATTGTTTGCTGATTTCGTTTCGGGTCTAAAAATAAACAACTCAACTCAAGTCGAGTCGAGACTCGAATTCAGCAGCAGGACACTTGCCTCCACCCCAAACCCCGCCAGGACACCAATCCGCCAATCAAGCAGTGGCCGCTTTGCTAATGATAAGCCTTGTTTTGTTGGCGTTGGTGCGGCGGCTGCTGCTGCTGTGGCTGCCACAAAATCATTATGACTGCGTATTATGCTGTCATTGATTTTAATTTTAATGTTGAATTTATCTTTCGTTGGGGCGTAATGCGCTTAAATGCGTATTTAATATGCTTCGCAGAGTTTAAAACTCGATAAGGCACAAAGCAAATTATTTGTTTGACTTTGTTTTTTGGCCACCGTCCCTGATGCCTCGATGCCCCCAGCGAGCTAATCAGTTTGATGAGTAAATTAACATTTTTGTTGGAAAAATGAATATTTTTATTTACGCATTTAATTCTTGCACATGTGCACAATTATATTTATATAATGTATACATAAGTATATCGGTATATCACTTGTTATATATTATATATAGACTTTTATCCATTTGCTTTCGCTGCAAAAAAAACTACACATAGTTTTATGATGTGATTGAGTTTATTCTGTACTTCTGTAGTTTGTATTTAAATGATATTCTCTTTTAAACGCAACGCACAAAAATAGTTCAAGCCAACATTAAATTATAGATATTTATGCAATTAAATTTAGAATTAATCAAACAATAAGTTTAGTTATGGTAATTAAGTTTCCTTCTAACAATAAACGTATTCATTAAAGTAATGTATGAATTGTTATAATGGAAGCGATATCGTTTTTTTTTACTTTTACTGTGTTTTCTATCTTTTTTTTATTAAAGCGCGTCAATGATAATTAAACGTTAAGCTTAAAATTCAATTATGCAAATTTATGCAGATAGTTGAAATCAGTGTCCAAGTGGATTATTGCAAATGTAAACGAGTGTCAAGTGATTAACTTTGCGGGTGAAATGTGAAATGTATGTTTACGTAGTATGTATATGCCTTTTTAGACTAGAGCTAACATTACGAGTACACTTATATAATTTGCTTATACAAAAATATATATTTATATATATTGGTGTATTGAGTTTTGTGGTTTTTTGTTTCAATTTCTCACAATTATCAATTTTGAATTGTTTTTGCTTACTCTTACTGGTTGGTTGGTTGGTTGCTTCCCCTTGAAATGTGTCAATTGCTTACAATTTATTTATTCCAACTTTAGGTTCTTTTTCCTTTTTTTTTTTGTTTTAATTGAGCCTTACACCCAAAAATATGTCCGAATGCTTGGCATGCTGCAACCCCCCGCCCGATATACAAAATACACTTAACCGAATACGAAAGTTAAAAACGTTACAATTCCGAATTGCTTGAAAACGGTTAGAAATGTGCGTTAAGTACACGCCGCAGGATCTAGTTACTTTACAAAGTACTTTTAAGAATAATTGTATTTAATAGAATTGGATTAGAATTAATTTAAGTAACGGAATCGCTGTGCCTAAGAAGTGAGTGCAAGTAAAGAAAGAAATGTGTGTGTTGTATATATTTTCGCTAATTGGCTTAAAAGGCATTTCAAATGAAATTGATCTGAGTTATATTTTTCTTCTTTTTTTTTTTGCTACTTTAAAGGCTTTTTCTTTCCTTACAGGAAATACTTATCAAATTGTGTGTGTTTCCTAAATGTGTTTACTAAATATTTAGTTTAGATTTGCTTTGAAATTAGAATTAAGCTCCGCATTCACTTTTAAATAATGTATTTAATTTCATTTTAAATAGAACTTAAAACAAAATTACTGAATGTGATTTCACCGATGTCGCATTATCCAACGACATGAATATATATTTTATAATTTAAAATATTCTTAAAGTTTCTTCTTGTTTTTTATCCTTTGCTGTTTCTTCTTTTACCCTCTTTTTTTTTGGCTCATCATGACCTCTGACCTTTCTTCTAGACTCTCTTATCATTCATCCACTCACTTTCTCTCGCTTCTGTTTAGTTAGTAAGATTTCACTCGCATTATTTTCAAATTGGAATGACCTTCATTAGAAACATGTACTTTGTTTTTTTTTTTTTGTTGTTTTTTTAGTTTAAACTTTTCTCTCTTTTTTAGATCTTTACAACATTTTTTTTTTAGGTTTTTGCATTTTTAGGCTTATTGTTTAATGATAGTTTATGATAAGTTTTACTTGTTATGCTTTTCTAAATGTTTTGGCTGTTTTTTTCGTTTTGTTTTTCTTGCTTATATAGGAAAGGGTTTCAAAAGTATGTTTTTTTTTTTTAGTTTTTAGTTTTTGGAGTGTCGCTCCCGGCAATTTTGGCATTTTTGTTTTTTTGCTTTTGTTTTCTTGGAAATAGTAAAGTTTCGAAATTTCAACTGACGTTCAAATGTTTTAAATGCATTTAGAAAATAAATAGGATTTGTTTCTTGTGTATGTATGTGTGTGTTTGTGTCGGTGTATGTTGGTGTGTGTGTGTGTGTGAATTCTTCAGGAATATTTTTGAGAAAAGTGAGCACCACGCTTTTTTTTACGGAAAAGTATTTTTTGTTGTTGGGATCTTTTTATGAAATATTTGCTCTACCACTTTGGTTCTCCATTAGACCGTAAAGTCCCCCGCCGCCCAGTTCATCTTGTAGTCGTCCATGTTGAACAGATCGAATATGTCGCCGCTGGTATTGAAGGCGTCCACTGCACCGCCTGCGCCACTGCCTCCGTTGTCCACGCCTCCGGATCCACTGTGCGCCATGCTGGTGGTAGTTACGTATTCGCCGTGTGGGCCCGCCTGCGGCTGGGTCACCGCCTGCATGAAGGAGTTCAGGGTGCTCTCGAAGTCGTCGCAGTCCATGGGCGTGCTGTGGCTGTTGAAGTGGCCGTTCACCACACACCCGGCGGAGGAGGACGAGGAGGAGGACTCGCCCGCACCGTTGACGGCGGCCATGTTGCCGTTGCCGCCCCCCGTGACATGCTGACTCAACTGGGCCACGAAGCTATCGGCATCAAAGTCCACATCGGCCGGGCCCCCGGGATTGTTGTTCAGCAGCACGCTGTCCGGACTGCTGGCGTCCAGGAGCTCGTTGATGGACGGCTGCAGGCTGGGATTGAGATCGCGTCGCAGGTTGTTGTTGCCGTTCTTGGTGGTCTGACAGTAGCTGCTGGCCGGGTTGCTGGTGGCATCCTCGCCCATGTCCATCTCCAGCTGCTGCGACATCAGCTCCAGCAGTTCGTACTCATCAAAGTGGTTCAGCTTGGCGTCCGGACTCGGCGGCTTCTCGCAGCTGCTGTGGCAGCTCTTGGGTGGCGTGCTGGGTGGCGGCGTGGCATGGTGTTGCTCGAGGAAGATGTCCAGGGTCTTGGCCACGCTTTCCGCATCGATGGTCCCCGCATCCGGTTGGAGTGGTGAGGCCATGTCGATGTTGTCAATAAAACTGGCGGCACTGGCGGCGCTTCCCGGATGGAAATCATTCGTGTCCATGGCCATGTCCATGTTCGGCTGCTGCTGGGAGGGTGTGTGGGATGCCTCCAGCTTGGGCACTATGCTGGCGCCTCCAGGTGTCGTTGTGGTACTGAACATGGCCAGCTCGGGCAGTGGGGTGAGCGGTGTGATCGGCTCCAGGGCGGCACTCTCCGGCAGCTCCCCCTGCTTGATGAGTATGTCCAGGACATCGCTGACCTGTTCGGACTTGATCCCAGGCACCTTTCGCTTCGCCGCCTGGTTGTTGCCCGTGGGCGTGGGCTGGGCAGGTGCCGGAGACTGCACTGGCTCCTCCTTGATCTTCACCAGCGGCATTAGGCCGTTCAGAGCCGCCGCCTTGCTGGCCGCCAGCTGCTTGGTGGCCTCTTCATACTGCGGCGGCGGAGCGGGCGAGGGCTTGAGGTCCAGCTGGATGAGCTGCTGCTGGGCTGGCTGGAACGGCTGATGCTGTTGCTGCTGCTGTTGCTGTTGGAGCTGCTGCAACTGTTGATGCGTGATTATCGATTTGGCTTCGATGGGGAAGACGATACTGGGCAGGGAGCTTGTGCGCTGATGGCCATTCAGCAGCTTCTTGGGCCCAGCCACTGTGGCAGGTGGTGGTGCTGTCGCTGCCACTGTGGCTGCTGCTGCTGCTGTTGGCGGTGGTGCTGATGTGGCTGGTGCTGCTGTTGTGGCAGTCAGACTGATGTTCCCCAGAGTGTGCGCCGTCATGTGCTGATCGTTGAGGCCCACCAGGAAAATGGTCTGATTGCTCTCGTTCCACAACAGCCCCAAATTGTTGTGGTGCGGCGTGGATGTTGCAGGTGTTGCTGCTGCCGCCACTGTTGCCGCCGGCTTGGCTGCCTGCAATATGGTTGCGGATTTCTTGGCTGTTGGAGTTGCTGTTGTCTTGGCAGGAGCATTGTTTATATGATTTTTGTTATTGTTGTTGAATGGAATGAGTACAGTTTGTGTCTTTTGCGTAAGCAAGCGCACCTGTTGCTGCTGCTGTTGCTGGTGTTGCTGTTGTTGCTGCTGCTGCAGTGCCTGCTGCTGTTGTTGTTGTGCCGCTGCGGCTGCCGCTGCCTTTTGTTTCTGGATCTTGGCCTCTAGCTGCTGCTTGACCACCATTTTTTGACTGATGGGAGCTGGATTTGACGAAATGTTGGGACCAGGAGTGCTCCCACCATTGCTGGCCTTCTTGGCCGCCTGTTGCTGCTGCTGCTGCGATACCCCGTTGACTTTGTTGGCCTTCACGGCAGTTACCTTGGCGGGGATGCTGGTGTGCTTCGTCTCCACCTGCTGCGGCAGAACCGTCAAGGTCTGCGCCGGGCCATTGGACGAGGTGGTGGTGATCAGAGTGATCTGCTGCGAGGGCAGGGCGTTCACCACCTGGGCGGTAACGGTCTGCTGCTGTTGCTGCTGCTGCTGCCGCTGGCGTATCTGCTGCAGCTCCTGCTGCGAACGCTGCAACTGCCGCTGCAGCTCGTCGATGCGACGCTGCTGCTCACGAAGCAACTCCTCGTTGGTGAGGATTATCGTGGCCGTCTGCGGCTGAGGCGGCAGGATGGTCTGCAGCGTCATCGGGTGGGTGGTGTCCATCTGGTGCTGCTGCACCACATCCATCTGCTCGTGCTCCATGCCGTGGTCGGACACCAGCATGGTCACCGGCGGTGGTTGCTCCACCAGGCCGCAGTTGCTCGTGTCCATGGCATCGCTAATGGTGATCACCTCCGTGGTGGTTGGAGCACTAGTAGCATTCACCTGGGCCACTGACGTGTTGCTGTCCAGTGCCTCCAGGGGTAGATACGGTTTCAGGCGCTCTATCAAGTGGGGCTTGGGCCCGGACACTGGAAGATTTCGGCGCTTCAGGTGCTGCTTCAAGTCCGAGACCTTCATCTTCTCCAGACGCGTCAGGTCCGTGATGGAGCTCGTGGTCGACTCGGCGTAGCTTGTGGCCGGGCTGGGCGGTATGGAGGAGCTCACGGATAATGCCGGCGAGGGCAGTGGCGGGGGATGCTGCACTGCAGCAGGTTGCGGCGTCTGTGGCTGCTGTTGCAACTGCATGGGCTGCTGCTGCGGCTGGGGCGTGGCTATCAGCGACAAGGTAGGCGGCGTGGGCGTAGGCGTGGCCGCTGGCGTGGGAGTCAGCATGGCGGCGTCCCCGAAATTCAATGGAGCTCCGCCGGTGCTGCTCGTTATGGAAATGGTGTTGGGCAAGCTGAGGGACGCCGGAGCTGGAACGGATTGAGAGGCCAGGGCGGGCACCGTCTTGGTAGTGACGGTGATGCTGTTGTTGCTGGGCGGAACCGCGGACGCGCTGCTCGGTGGGAGAATGGACTGGTTCTTGTTCAGGTTCTCCAGGAACTTCAAGAGGCAGTTCTGCTGCTCCAACATCAGCTGGTAGGAGGTCTCCTCCGGCTGCGTCTGATCCTGTTTCTGGCCGGCGGCGCTCGGCGGGCCCTTGTACTCGTGGAACTTGATCGTCCGCGCCTTGGACACCGGCTTAGACTTGGACTTCTTGCGGTTTTTGTCCTTGCCCGGGGCATCAGACTTTATGGAGACGGGCTGGAGGTGCAGCCTGTGGGCTGTCGCACTGGCGGACGTCATCGGTGGCGGTGGCGGCGAGGCGATGGAAGACAGCGGACTCAGCGTGGAGGTGCTCGACGCCAGGGAGCAGGGCGAGGCCAGCATGGGCAGGTATGACTGGCCCAGACTGGCCGCGGACCCGGTGACGCTCTGGCACAGCTCCTCGAACAGATTAGCCGTCTCCTGCTTCACTTTGATTCCGCTGGCTGGCAGTGGTGGCGGCGGAGGCGGTGGGGGTGGTACGGGCGCCATAACCGGCACCACCACAGCCTTGGGTGCCTGCGGTTGGGGCTGTGCTTGTGGCAGGATCTGCGGCGAGCTGACCACCAGCTGGCCCCCTGCCGTGGGCATGGTCAGGGCCATCGTCACAATGCCCGCAGAGGCGGCCGCCGCCTGCAGCACATCGGTACTGGGAGGCGGGGGCGTGGCCGTGACCACCATGGCCTCGTCCAGGCGGGGTGGCGTCTGCCGCGTGTCACTCTCCGAGCTGAGGGAGTCCTCGTCAAAGGTTACATAGCTGTGGGGGTGTTGCGGCCGCGTCAGCAGCCCCTCGCTGGTGGCCTTGAAGGAGACAAGGCCCTCCTTGACGATCTTCTCGATCGGCTTCTCCGTGTGCAGGATGTTCTTCTTGATGAGCTCCAGCGGACCTGGGCGGTGCTGGATCTGGGAGTTGAGCTGGTCGGCCAGGCGTGCCTTCTTCAGCATGCGCTGCTTCTCCGCCAGGCTGGGATCGATGTGGCACTCGTCCTCCTCGAGTATGTGGCGGCGTTCCAGGTCCTCCCGGTTCGGTCGCTGCTGGATCTTGGCCTTCAGCAGGTCGCTGGTCTTGGCCCGTTCCAGTTGCTTGCATTGTTCGTGGATAGCGGGCGATGTTTTCAAAGCTATAAGAAGGATTTTGGAAAAATAGGGAATTAGATAAGAATAGAAGTAGCTTCGGAAATGGCCGAAGAATATTCTTAGTCCCCAAACCCTGAATGACTCATCTTAAAGCTTTAACTCTCCATTTAATCAATGTCTTTAACAAACAAACCACATGAAGTGGAATGCCCAAGTATTTATCTAATAAATTTGATGCGCTTCCTAGTCCTCCAAAATAATACCCTCCCTCATCCGGTGGATACACAAAATATATGATGATTCAATGCCCAAAGTTTCGCTTTTGCGGGGAAATTCATCATTTAAATTCAAATTCACTTTCGGCTTTGAATTAGTTTGTAAATTTTCGTATTTCTTGGGATTCTATTCTCGGGTCCTTTCGCTTTTTATTTCCGTTTGCATTTCATTCTGTTGGTGCGCATAAATTTGAAAGCCATTCAAATGAAATGTTCGCCAGTATTTGCATATCCTTTTTGGCCGACGAATTGGGCCCCGCCTCGGAGCATCTGCTCGGAGCCAACTAAGTGAGGTTAATGTGTATTTTATCGATCTACTAACTGACTGACTAAGCGGCTAAATGCTGTCTAAGGATGTCTGCCCTCGAGGTAGAGGTGGGCACTGATTCAGGGTCTACTTACATGGTATGATGCCCTGCTCCACGAGCTGCGAATGTGGTCGTCGCACCATAAGCTTCACTTTGAGCGCTGGAAAGAGGCAAAAGTTCAGGTTAGTCAGGTTGGCTGGATGGCTGGCTGGAAAGCCCTCAAGTTGTTAGCACAAATCAAAAAACCACAAATTACAGGGCCAAACAATCATAAATTATGAAACCGTAGGAGGAGCACGAGTGTGTAGATCAAACATAGAAAACCCATAAAAAAAAGTGCTCCCAACAGCTGGGGGAAATAATTTTCGGGGCGCAAAGTTTGCCACTGCTGTTGCTGGTTTTCCGTCCATTTTGACAACGCCGGGGCAATAAATGTCTGGGGCAACACAAAAGGCAGCTGCAAATGGAAAAAACAAGGCAGCGGCGCGCGAAAAAAAGGAAAAGTTTTTAATATCTTTATGTACGGGCTATTATGGTGTGAATACACATATATTTTGCAGGCGACTCCAAAGTTTCAAGCCCGAGAAATTAAATATTTAAGCTTGCTTAAGGACGAAGGCATCAGGATGACAACGACAGGGAACGAAGGTGTGGCCCCATGGGGCGTATGCGTAATAATCTGATTAGATTGCCACCGTGCTGCGCGGCTCTTCGGCTCTTCGGCTCTTTGGCTCTTTGGCTAAATAACAGATTGATGTCAATTAACTTGGCATCCAGTCAATGCCAGCCCTGAAAAATGGAACAAGGCTGTCTCTTAAGCTTCAGCAGCCAATTGAATTGACTTTGAAAGATGAGAGTTTGTCTCCTAAGACTTCCAAGCTCAACAAGGCCAAAGACAATGGCTGTGGCAACGTTTTCAATTATAATCGCAAAGGCCTATAAAATAATCAATTAATGGGACATTATCCTTTCATCGTTAAATCCTGGAATAGACAATTAAATTCGTGCAGCACTGTGTAATGTAATTTTAGTCCGCCGTCCTTCCTGCCAAAGAATGTTTTGGCATATTAAGCATACGACCTGCTGTCCTAATATCATTACCTTCAATTAGCATTCCGAGAGCGAGGACTCTGGCGAAATTGATTCACAAAATGGCCAGCCAGCCATGTAATTAAAACGAAATAATGCGCATTAGGGCGTAGAGCGGATGCGGACTCCGTTCTCTGGACTCCGGACTCTGAAGCCCAAACTGGGAGGTAAATAAAAGCCAAAGCCGCAAATGAAATGAAAACACAAAATCTTATGCGCCGTCGGCGATCCAGGGAGGGGGTCTGGGAGGAGAAAGCAAACAGGGCCAGAATCCGGTATCCGGAATCCGGCTTGGAGGGCAGTGCACTGTGGAGGCTTTGTGGCTTTTATTTCAAGGCCAGTTTGAGACTTAAAGACCGAAAATCGTACAGGAGGCAGTAGGATATGCACTTGCACTCCTATGTGGCATCTTAGTCACATTCTTCGGAGGCAGGCTGACATCCACAAAAAACACTTGACGCCACAACAAAGTCGACATCAAAGTGACGATGACGTTATTAAAGTCATTTGGGCTCTTTGTCGAAAATCATCATAAAAGCCAAGCGAGAGGCAGCCAAGCTGCCAGGGCGCGTAATTGTCTCAGACGGCGGTGGCAGCTGTTTGGTCGCCCGTTTTACGATTGAAGTGTGCCACACAAAAATGTACGAAAAAATTCAGTACAGCGTAAAATATCAGCGAAAACAACAAATTCATGTTTGCCACGGTCCGCGGTCCATGATCCAGGGCCTGAGAGGCGAGAGTCTTGTTTTTGTTTACCGGGTGGCAGTGAAAATATTTTTCCATGTAATATCACCACCACTACCTGCCACTTGCCACTCTCCAGTGACGACACCAATGTCGCCAGTCTTCTTGAATTAATTATGCGAAAAATATATCTATATCTGGGAAGAACCGAAGCACGATTGATAAAAACAATAACATAAATTCCAAATTAAACACATAAAAGTTTTTATGCGAAAAGCAATAAACGTGTGTAGACATCGCTAACAAATTTTCATATAGAATTCCTTCGGTTGTATGGTATTGTTGTTTTGTTGTGGTTAGCTGGCCGCCCTTCTTCTATCCCTCATATAGAAGATGCCCTCGCCCACTGCCTGGCCCACTGACTGAGGCGAAGGTCAGGTAAACAATTGCCGGGCAAGATGGTCGGGGGTGGGGGCCAGCCAGGGGGAAGTCGCGTGAGAAATGTGTACAGGAGGGGCATGTGTGGGTGGGTGGCAGTGTCTATGTGGTTGTATTATAAAATCGATTACGTGATTGGGGGGAGCAGTGCTTAGTCTAAACGAAGACGCCATCTTCCGGGCTAGGAAAGTGAATGAAATGCCAGGCCACAAACCGAGGGAAAAGGCCCAGTTACTACCTAGTTAGGAATCTTCTACTAAACATTATCATATAATATTATATAGTGCTATTAGTGCCCATTCTATCCACAGTCGCGTGCAACGTGTTTATTTGTCAAAACATTTCTGCAGCGCCGACTGCCAAGGCACTGCAGCAGCCATGTGTTTATAATAAATATTTTTTTGTTCGGCTTTTCAGAATGTTTACACCAGAACTGGCCCAAAAACAGAAGCTGGTGGTTGTTGCCACATAATATGCATGCAGTTTATTTGTTAGATAACTTGCCGGAAATACGCGCCATACATTTTTGGCAGTTGCTTCTTGCTGGTTGCTGTTTGCTGGCAGGGTTGTACAAATGCGCCTCTTTTCAGGGTCAGTGGATGGGGTCAGTTGAACTTTATCAACCACTCTAGAAAGACTAAGAGGAGGTAGCACATTTCCGGTTATAGCTAAAATGCCAGGCAAGTGCAGGCGACAGATGCTGTCAAAACTATTAGCGAGAATGCAGCCGTAGACCCGTCGGTCGGGTCTAAACGCTTCTTCGGCCTGTCATCTTTCGGCCATTCAAAATTAATAAGAATATTTCTCTTCACTCAAAATGCCAGCCAAGTATGTAGGCCACAGCCACAGAGACAGCGCCAAGCAAGAAAACTGTTGACAAAATAGAGAACATCGTTCTGGGGGCCATGAATGAGTTGCTGACCGTTGCTGGGCGTGGCCGACGTAAGTGCCTGTTGCGCCGTGACAGCTTCATTAAAAATAATTCTAATAATAATAATAATAATAATAGTAAGAACTGTGTGGGCCAGCACCGCCTCCCCAGGCCAACGTCAATAATTGGCTGAGAATCTCTCACTGACGATTATGATTTTAATAATTACAGTGATGGGTGGTGGACGTTGCTTCTGGTCGGGCTGGCATTTATGGTTATGACTAAGCAGAGGCAGAGGCAGAAACGGAGGCATTCGGGCCACAAGATGACAAATGCCAAACAGCCGGGGAAAAGATGGCGCCCAGCGTGGGCGGGCATCCATTGAGTAAACACGAAAAACCAGAATGGAACCTTAAGCTCATCCGACACACTTTTGTTTTCAAATCCTCACTAATTGTTCCACCAAACTACTCACATTCTTTGTTCTTGTCCATGGCGGGCTGCAGCGGACTGGAGTCCACGATGGCCTTTGGCGGCGACTGCCGGGCATCGTAGCAGTCCGAGTTGTTTCCATCATCGCTGCTGCCCAGAAAAGTGGCATGTAGACGCTGCTCACCTAAGAAACAGAAGGGTTATGATTAGAAATCCTTTCAAGGATAATAATAAGGATAACGCACCCTCGGACATGTCGTCGTAGGTCTCGTGCAGCAGTATTATATCCTGAAAGGTGTGTTCCAAGGTCTTGCCACTGAGCCGGGTGGCAAGGAGGCCCCCGCAGGCAGCGCTCGATATGAGCTCGACGGTGGTCAGCGGCGAGGCGGAGATGGTGGCCAGCAGCGAGGAGCTGCCGTTGCCACTGCTGCCGCCGCTGCTGCTACCGCTACTACCGCTGCTGAGACTATGGAGTGAGGCGGACTTCACCAGCTGGCCGACCTTGTGGCAGTTGCTCGGCTTCTGGGTCTGGGCCTTGAGGGTCCGGGCGAGGCTCTTTGTGGGCGACGTCGAGGTGGATTTGTTGAGGAACCGGCTAGCCGTCGCTGCTGCACTGGCTCCCTTTGAGCTGCCGCTGCAACTGGAACTGGTGCTGCTGCAACTACTGCTGCTGCTGCTACTGCAGCTGCTCAGGCTGCTGCTAATGGACTTCTTCGAGGAATTGGAACTAACGGAGGAGGCTGGCGAGGCCGACGAGGAGCTCGGATGGTGGCCTCCGCCCAAGATGACTGTCTGCTGCTGGTGTTGCTGTTGCTGGAGTGTATTTGCGTTGCTTGTGGGTGGTGTGGTGGTATGGGCGGTGATCTTGGTGTCAATCGTAATGGGTATGACACTGGGTATGGCGACCAGTTGCTGATGGTGTTGGTGCTGGTGGTGCTTCTGCTGGGCCAGCTGCTGGTTGGGATTCGTCTGCTTGCTGGTGGCTCCGCCGCCGGAGCTGCTCTGGAACCAGCTGGGGAAGTTGCCCTTGAGCGTGTCAAATAGATCCTGATCGAGCGTTAGACGCCACGATGCAGGTCCGCCGTCCACGCTGTGCGTAGACTCTAAAAAAAAAGGATACCAAAAATATAAAGGATATTAATTATTCAATACAAATTATTCTTATTTTTAATGTCCACCCTATCGTGCTGTTTTTGTGACCGCTGCTGTGCTAGTTATTTATGCTAAACACTGCCAAGTAACCTAGTTTGTTGGCTCCTCCGCCCACTGCCACTACCACCCCCGCAGTGGGGCATAGCAAAGCGCGTACTTGGTATTTATTTTTCAAATTCTTTTCTATCTCTGTGCTTGTTGACGATGGCGGTGGCACGCACCCATTCGAGTCCACTACTTGCTTTTGATTTTGCGGCACTTTTTGGCTAGAGAATTGCCTGCTGCTGCTTGGCGGAAAATAGATATAGCCACGTTTATACATAGATGCTTATAAATTTATAATTGCAATTTGCCGAATCACTGACCACTGAGCACTGAGCCCCAAATGCATTTTACAGCATTTACTCGTAACTGGTGGCGACAGTAATGCGAATGCCGCCGAATGGCGAATTGCGACGAAAATCTTGGCACTCGACGGCATTGCATCATGCTAAAGCGACATTCCCAGACACGCCTCAGATTATGCAATATTTTTAGCTCCGATCCCAGTATAAATAAGTCCTGAGTCTGATAGGTAATGGCCAAAATCCGCAAAAAGCAGAAAGAGAACCTTTTCCTGCCAACACACATGACTGACATGCACTTGTCAAATGCTCTGCTATTTTTGGCAAATGCTTCTGCTTCTGTTTCCTTTGATTGTTATTTCTGTTGAGCTTAAAAAGGTTCGCCTACATTGTTGTTATTGCCGGATACTGGCCGGTATTTTTAGAGAAACTCATCGAAATTGTTTCGCAATTAGGCGAGAGCAGCCCCCAGCTGCTTTTCCAAATACTAATCCTAATCGTCTGCGTGGGAGTGGAAACTGTGACACTTTCGTCTTTCGGGCCTTGTCTTGTTTGTTTATCTAAACTAAATTTGAAATTGCTAAGCAAACAAATGGATAACTATGTCGAGCGGTGCATTTAAGTTTGCATCTGCAGCGACGACATTTATTGGTCATTAAAAGGAGAGCGCCAGAAGGCAGAAGGCAGCTTGCACCATGCACCAGCCGAGCGGACAAACAAACAAACAAACAAGAAAGCAAACAACATACCAGGCGACCAACCGAGCAACATCACCACGCGACGCCACCAACCACTTGGCAGAAAAGCATGCTTTGCAAGCACAGTGCACAGTAAAAGAAAAATTACAAATTTTGGGAGGCACAAGCATGCTTTTCGAGCATGCTGCACAGTAGAATAAAAAAGGAAATTATAGTCATTATACCCTTGCAGAGGGTATTATAATTTTGTCCAAAAGTGTGCAACGCAGTGAAGGAGACATCTCCGACCCTATAAAGTATATATATTCTTGATCAGGATCACCTCCTGAGTTGATATGAGCATGTCCGTCTGTCCGTCTGTCCGTCTGACCGTCTGTCCGTCTGTCTGTTTCTACGCGAACTAGTCTCTCAGTTTTAAAGCTATCGTCTTGAAACTTTGCACACACCCTTCTTTCCTTTGCACGCAGTATATAAGTCGGAACGGCCCGGATCGGCCGACTATATCCTATAGCTGCCATATAACTGATTGATCGGAAATGGTATAACTTTGGTGTTTTTAGAGTTAGAGAGTTCAAATTTGACACGAAAGCTATCTTTGGCAAAACATTACGACATGCCAAATTTCATAAGGATCGGCCGACTATATCCTATAGCTGCCATATAACTGAACGATCGGAAATGACCCAACTTTCGTTTTTTTGAAGATAGAAAGCTGAAATTTAATACAGATTCTATTTTTGGTCAGTTGATCCAACGTACCAAATTTCATAAGGATCGGCCGACTATATCCTATAGCTGCCATATAACTGAACGATCGGAAATGACCCAACTTTCGTTTTTTTGAAGATAGAAAGCTGAAATTTAATACAGATTCTATTTTTGGTCAGTTGATCTAACGTACCAAATTTCATAAGAATCGGCTAACTATATCCGATGTTTGCGATATATATCCGGTTTTAGCTGCAAGGGTATATAAACTTCGGCTCCGCCCGAAGTTAGTTTTCCTTTCTTGTTTTTGTTTTGAATCCTAAAAAAAATATTTGGAAAAAGCATGCTTTTTCAGCATAGTTTGCAGTAAGGGACAAATTACTAGTGCTTTTCGAGCATATTGCACTTACAGAATATGTACAATTGATAGATTTTGGTTTTGGTTTTAATTTGGTTTTAGGATTAAAAAGAAATTCTTGGAAAAAGCATGCTTTTTTAAAATTGGTGGCAAGGAAAAGAAAATTTTAACATTTATGACTCATTTAGAGGTTTAAGGATATGTTTTTCTATCAAAGTGCACCATGTAAGAGCCAAATTACAAAAAAAATTGTTTGTTTCTAACCTAAAGCCCAAAAATTGGAAAAAGCATGCTTTTCAAGCATATTTCTTCGAAAATATTAAATTATAAATTTTTTTGCAGACTCGATAGAAGCGTGCTTTTCCATAATAGTTTAGAAATTACAAATTTTTGACTGATTTTTAGATTCAAATCTAAAAAAGATACCTCATAAAACCATGCTTTTAGTCAGGGGGTTTTATCACAAATTAGATACTATTTGAATACTATTATAACTTATATTATCAATTCTCTATTATCATTTCTTTCTGTGCCACTGTGATGCCTGCCCCAATCTTTGTGAGAGGGTGTGTGTGTGTTTTGGGGTGGCGCGACATGTTGTCCGCACGCAGCCACATGGCCTGAGACCGGCGGACGGACGGCCAAAGGACGGACGCGCGGACCCACCAAAGCCATTGCCAATTCTATTTTCGCGCCACCAGCAGCCAGTGAATGCAAGTGGTTTCTTTTGGCCAAAGACGTCCCTCCGCCCCCTGCTCGCCAGGGAGTCTCCTTGGCCATTACAATTTGTCAACGGGGCGTATGCGCAATGTTTCTGATGTTGCTGCTGAAAACAATTGAATTGAGACAAGGAACCGAGAGTGAAAAGGAAACCACTGCTGCTTCAAAGGGAAAATTAATGAATCGGAAAGAACAATTGAGTGGCAGGCGAGAAAAAAGTCATTAAATTAGCTTTGATTTAAAAAATATTAAGATTCTAGATAGAATTTAATATTTCAAGAGATCTTAAGCTAGTAAACCATAAAAGCAAACCTAAAAATAATATTAAATGTCGTTTAATACACTCCACTTGTTGCCATTATGTAAATTATAATCAAAGAAAAGGTACACACCCGCAACCGCAAAACAAATCAATAAACCAAATACACACATCCCACCAGTATCCAGAGATGTTGACAAAACTATAACCTTGAACCTCCCATCCTACGCTGTCCTACACACATAAATATAGTCGAGCCCAGCCAGCTGGAACAGTTGAAAAATAAAGGACTCAGGGCCGAGCACTTAGTTTGATTTCAGGGCCAGGACTACGACTATGCTCCATGACCAAAACTAATCATTCAAAGCGGAGTGGAGCGGAAGTTGTGGCGGAAGTTGTAGCCCCCAGTCTTCCTACGCCCCCGAAATCGAGTGTGTGCCAGGCAGGGGCGTAGGCAGGTTACAGAAGGCTTTGAATATTTTTTTTTAACCAAAACATGTTGTCACCTGAGTAAGAGTACTTTTCCAATTCTCATTAAAATTAAACTCATTTAGAAACCCCTTTGATGACAGCCCCCCTGCCTCTGCCACACCTGCCACTGTGCGGCAAGGATGTGGGCGTGTGTGTGTGTGTGGTAGTTTGGCATGGTTACTTCAGAGTAAACATCAATTATGTATGCTGTATGCCGGCAGCCATACACGAATCAACGCGCCGCAAAGTATGCTACGTTGAGGTCGATTCTGTATTTGTCTGTGTGGGTGTGGGCAACTTCCTTTCGGCAAGACAGGAAACAGGATGCTGTTAACGTTACAATTCGACATAATCGATGCTTGTCGTACGAGGCTCGCATTTAACCTGGCAATTTGTCGGCAGCTGCATAAACATTAACTTTCATTTGCAGTTTATCTTCGGACCCGATGCCATAAATCAAAAGGTGGCCCAAATAAATAAATTGCCACAAACTGCGACCTCGAAATAAACAATTTCTAGTCACGTGACTGCCTCAGGCAGATGTTGCAGCCAAGTTCTTGTCGATAGGAAGGTGAAAACATAATCAAATATGAGGAGTTCTCTCAAATCGTGACCACGGCCATTGTTTATTGTCTCGTTTGGCGAAAACAATCCGCGAGATGCGACGTTTACATATTCATCTGAATGCCAATAACAGCTGCAACAGCACCACCAACGCTGACAGCTTCGACAAGCGAGGATTATGCAAGCGCCATGTACCCCCAAAAAAACGAAAAAAAAAACATAGAAACCCAAATCGTATCGAATCCGTAGGGAGAGAAAAATAGCAAAGCTAAAATCGCCTTGCCATGTGTCGTTGGGTGGGTGGATACATCTGTACTGTATATGCTGCAAATTGAAACGTATATTTGTAAACAATATCCAGACGTCATAGACAAAACTCATTTAAATGGGAAAAACATTTCAGCAGCAGAACAAATTAAAAGTACACAACACCGAGATCCGAGATCCGAAAGCCAAGAAGCTTTGCTCATTTATTTGTTTGTAGTTTCCAATGAACGCCACAATGAATGGATAGCTCAGGTTAGGTTAGTAGTACATAGTTGTTTCTATCATTTTTGGTCATAATGCTGGAAACGTGTTTTTCCACTAGCTCTTCGATCGATTCACAATCGATATATATAATAAAACAATCTGTGGCGAACGTTACTTTATAGTTTTTAATATGCATAAGCTGGTATTGCCTTTTTGGTGCAGATCTGGCTCTTGCCAGAAAATTCGCATGTTATCGCAACAAGCTGACAAGTGTCAGGTAGCTGAAAGCTGGTGCTGGTAGCCACAGAAAAAAACAAAACATGTGAACAATAATAACAAATTTTAGGAGCAATAAAAC